CATTGAAAACTTAAAAAAAAAACTATGTTTTAAAAAATAAAAATTTTTTCCAATTTTTTTGCGCGCTTTTTAGAAATCGTTAGGACGCAAATCATGTCAGAACCGGCCTGGTAAGCATTTAAATACCAGATTTAAATCTAATTTGGAACCTTATTTCTGTAATATTTTCCCACACAGCTCATGAGTATTTCATAAAATATGATAAAATTATTTTTAAAAATTATGTATGATGTAGCCGTTTCAACTGCTATTCCAACCCATTTAAATTAAAAAAAAACTGCAGTATTTGCTATTTTAAAATTAGCTAATAAGGACTTTAACTAAATTAGCCGCTAATTTGGTTGACAAGAAGGGCAATCAAGCAATGCTAAACCAAGCAATGCAAAATAAGAGAATGCTTTTTAATACCTCGAAACGTTATCAGTCAGCATTACAAATAATATTATAAAGTAATTTTTAAAACGAATTCAATACTTAGTCTTAGTAATTTTAGAGATGCATTATGAAAAAAAAACTAACATTGGTATAAATCGGTCATCGTATTTAATCGATGTACCCTTTATACACATGAATCATTTATAATGACAAATGCTCTTACCTAGTTATTCATTTTGTATGCGGGATCACGTCTTTTTGAAAAAAAAAATATAAAAAAATTACGTATTTCAAAAGATGAAGAATTTTTTAATGAAATTGTTGAAAATTTTTATATTACACGTTTATTATGAGATATTAAAGTTGAAAAGTAATGTGAATAAATGAAAAATTAGTTAAGACTTTTGAACTCTTTCGTCTTCTTTTAAGTAGATTCTTTTTTTTTTTAAATAAATGACTTTAATACCTTAATGAGTAAAAATGAATTAGGAAATTACTTATTGCTTCTAATAATATGAAATATTTTTTTAATTTGAGATTTTATTTTGATGAAACGTAATTTTAATTTTAATTTAGGTCGTTGTAAAAGCATTCATCAAAATGTACATTTCGTGTATGTTTGGAAATTTTTGGTGAATTTTATTAGTTAATGTTTTGAGTATTAATTTTTTATTATATATAATTAAAAAAACACAAATTAACTTTAATCATTAACTTAATTACGAGTTTTTACATGCACATAAATATGAGACTTACCTAAACAAATTATTAAATTTGATATAGAGAAAATAGCAATTTTAAAATTTAATTCTTCCTATTTCGGGAGATGCTTAACAATTTAGTCTGGGAAGAATAATCAAGAATAATAAAGAAATCAGAGATAGTTATAGGAACAATTAACTTTTATTTTCATGCTCAAATCCATTGATATATTTATCTATAATACTTAAATAGGATACAAAAAAATATCTGAAATTGATTTCGAAAACCCGAAGTAATTTTCAAACTATTAAAATAATTCTAATTACAAAACTTCAGTAACAGCTGTTAAAAGTTTTTTAACTCTATATTGAATTTTTTCAAAAGAGATGCGAGCAAAAAATCTTGTATCTAGCCGGCTTATTTTGCCAGATTAGTTAATTAATATTAAGTATGTATCTTACTTATTTAACTTTCACTTTAACAGCAACATATTTGGCTCGAGTTCAGCAATTTTTTTTTATTTTCCTTTCTTGCGCTAGCCATTAAGTATATATTACTAATCTAAGTATATAGAACTAGCAAAAATATTTACTTATTTTAAAATTATTTGAAATCTACTTATTTAAAATTCAAATTTATTATTTATTAACTCAAATTACTTAAATGTGCAATAGTTGATATCTTTAATTTTAACTTTTCAAATATTCTTAAGCATGAATATTTTAAATTACTACTTACTGAGAATTGTTATAGATATTCGTGCAAAAGATTCATTTAATTTAAATATAAAAATATTGTCATGTAAAAATATGAAATTGATATTGCATGACATGTGAATTTTATAATAATTATATATATATACATATTATATGATTGCATAATTAATTACAAATCATAAACCGTATGCATTAACAACAGCAAGGAATGATAAAAGATAACAAAGACTTCACAATATAAATTTTATTTTTACTCACTTAAAGTACTCACTAAAGTACTATTGTAATTTTGTTTTTCAAAAAATTTTAAAAATTTTTGTATTAAGTACTTATTAGATATTAGTAATTTCAACCAAATTTTCAAAACGAATGGCATTTCAAACTTAATATTAGCTGTTGAATAAGCCAATATTTAATATTCAATTATTATGATAATTTAAAACATAAATGAATACGTCATTTTCACACCCACTTCCTTAATAATTCAAAAATACTGTAAATAAACTTACAATATTACATACGTGTATGTAAGCATTTCATTGACAAAACTAACTCTATGATTGCTTTATAAAAAAAGGTCAATTTCTATATGTAAATAATACAAAAATATATGTTAAATAGATATGTGCTATAATATGTGCATTCTCAATAAGTACTTTTGTAAATGAATATATATCAATATCATATAAATGTGTAGAAGTATCATATATCCAAAGAATCAGAATAAGTTAGACAAGAAAAGAAATATAATAATAACTACGTAAAGAAACACTTAATAATAAAAAAAAAAAAACATGATCGAAGACCATTTGTAAATAGTACTTGCTTATGGTTAACACATTTTTTCAAATAAGTACACATTATATATATGCATATAGAAGTATTTTATATTTAACCACATAACTATTAAGCTAATAAGTACATAATATACTTAATGTTAAAAATAGAAGTCAATGTACTTATGTGCTTCTCCAATTACAGTAATTGATAAATCTTTTACATACTACTGTCTATGACAGTTTACAATTTTATAAATGACGAACAAGGATCGTTTTACTTATAATTTTTTTACTTTTTCTTTTAATTCCTTTCCGAAACAGGGTGATAGAATAGAACCCCAGCAAAACGAAAAATAATACTTAGTAATAATTTTCGTTTCTTCAGTCTTTATCTCGAATTATTTGAGACTGGATTTAGTCTTTCTGTTTTTTACATCTTTCCTAATACTTAAATCCGTCAGGAAATAAATACGAAAACTAGAATAAACTTTTTAAATTTCTTTTAACATTTCGGAAATATAATCGAATATGGGACACCCTATAAGTTATACTATACTTGATATTTTAATAAGCTATTACATAATTACAATGTATGAAAAAATCTGGGGGTTGAAGTTTTTCTTTTATGCTTATCTAACTCCTACAATCCATCTGTAATGTGATATCAATGACGTTATTATAATCAATACTTTTGTAAATTAAAAATAAAATATATTTTGATTTTTTCTTATCATCGCTCTGATTTTTATGAAAACTTTTTTTTTCTGGAATTCAAAGTATATATATAAGTATGTAATATTGTTACATTTATGAACATAATACTTAAAAAACATTACATATACTTACACCTAATTGCAAAAATTATCTACTATAGATAAAGAAAGTTGCTTTTTGTTCCTGTTGTAATAAATAAGATTTTTAATATGTTGAGATAAGAACCTTACATATACATATTGAAAATTTTATACATTCAAGTACCTAAGTAGGTATCTACCTTAATTATATTTATGTGACTGCTTATAATAAATTAAAATTTAAATGTGAATTGTTATATAAGTAAGAGTAAATTACACAAAATCTTACAATACTAGGTAATAAGAGAAATATTTACAAGTCATGCTTTAATTAAAAAATTTTTAGACCATACAACATTGTTACAAATACTTTTTTTCTTATACACAGTTCTCTTACATTTCATTCTTCACTTAGTCACATGAAGGAAGGGTAACTACTTATATTTACAGATGAAATAGTATTGTAAAAATATAAAAAAGTATAATAACATTCTTATAAGTAATTATTGGTGTATTTCATTGTCACAATCCAATTAAATCTATGTAAGTATTTTTGTAACAATAAAAAAGTTGCTGTGCGTATAGGAATTAAAATATATACTTGTATTCTACATTTTTCATATATATCTACTTATACATGTGTATATTGATTGTATGGATAAAATGATAGTAGGTCTTTCAGTAAAAATATATTTAAATTGCTTGTAAATGTGGCCGATGACCTTGGAAATTGATTTTTTTTTCACAATTTCAGTTTTCTTGCAAAATATTTTTAATTGTGGGAAGGTATATGTACATATATATACATAATAGGTAGAATATACCTTAATAACTGGAAACTTAATATGAAAATAATGGGAGCAAAACATCAACAAGTTATTGTTTGCTTTTAGTACCCATGTACTATAGAATTTTAATTCGTATTATTTATACTACAGTTTTGAATGTATGTACTTGTTCCTTTTTTTTTAAACAAAACTCTGGTTTCATGTTAAAATTTTGCCTGTTACTTCACATTGAAAACATAATAAGAATTTAACATTTCAGCCACAATTGAATTGCAAAATTTTTTTATATTTTTATGAAACTTTTCTTTTTTGTACATTTACTTTATTATTTTACGTTCAATAAAAATAACCCCTCATTTTTTCCTGTCTTTACTTTTGTTCAGTACATGATTAAGTATATATGTACATATATATATAATATAGGTGGATAAGTAGGCAGCTATATTGCAAGTCATAATGTGTGAATAAATATTTCATTTAATATTCTTTTCTTGGGCCTTCTTTAATTTTCCAATTTTCTGTTGTTGTTTCCTGCTTAAAAGAAATGAAAACAATCCAACAAGTACTTTTAATATATGAACAGGTATGTAACTTCATTCTATATTTATTACAAGCCATTTATTTGCATGCAACTAAGTATAGTAATGGTATGTATAAATTTCCTTTAAATTATTAAGTTTTAACTTGAGATATTTAATTTCGGAAGTGTTTGGTATAAATTTAATATTATTTATGTATACCTACAATTAAAAGCTTAACATTAATAATTATATTAATATATATAACGAATTATCTTAATTGCAGTATATTTTAAATAAGTAATAAGTAAAGGATAATTTTACTTACTTGTTTTGCCAAATCAGCAAAAACAGCTAATTCCAAAGGATTCTTAAATGATTTATCAGTGGGATATTCTATTTCATTATTTTCAATATTATTAATATCCTCTGGTAAATTATTTTTATCAAATATATTTAATTTATTACGATTATTTACTAATTTGGCACTTTCAATATTATTATTTATACTATTATCAAAGTCAATTGAATTGGTATCATTCTCAGTTAAATTCGTTATTCTAAAGTAAATTACAAAGAACATTATAACTGTTCCAAATATTATAAATTTACTGTGTCGAAATCTTGGTAACATATTGAACCACTTTATTAACTATCTATTTATGTAGATACTTTAAATTTATTTATGCACTTATAATATTGTGTAAGTATTGCAAATAATTTTTTTTTCCTTGTTTTTTATTAGAAGACGTGTGATGTATGAAGAAAACTAGGCGAGGTTTCTTTTTTCTTGTTTTGGAATATTTATGATTAAAATTATGTATAAAAACAAAAACACAACTTAAAATTGAATAGATACACTCGTGTTGCAAAACAAAAAAAAATATATATAAAAATTAAAATAAAATTAATAATTTTCTTTAATATTAACAAAACATTTTCACTGATATTGTAAGTAATTTTTTCATATTTAAAATTTATTTAAAAATCAAATTCTTTTCTTGTTTTTTTTCTTCTTATTTCAATTTTCTCCTTGATATTGTAACTTTTTTAGCGTAAAACAGCAGCGGAAACTAACAAACTCGCTAATGGCACAGGTGATACTAAAATTCATTTCGGTAAAAAAAATTGTTGAATTATTCTTGATAAGTTAAAGTTTTTAATTTTGAAAACTTTTTTTTGTTTGTAGACATCTAAAGTTATGTATGTAGGTAAGTATGTATATATAAAATTTAATTTGTGATATTATTTTGAGAAGAGAAAAAAAAGTTAAAAGCTTGTCCACGAAGTCAGGTTTTTTTTTTATCTTTTCCACCTTTTTTTTTATCAAAAATTCCACCAACGAAAATATGAAATCGCGACAAATAAAAATTAAAATTTATATTTTTTGTTTTCTTTTTTGGCCTTTTAATGATGAAGATGATTATTTAGAGAATGAATGATTCAGAAATTGAAAAGTTGAACACTCTCCTTGTTGTACTATAAAAAAAAAAATAAAACATGTACAAAAAGCAAAACAACAATAAAAGTATCGAAGTTGTCAAAATTTTGAGAGATGTAAATGCGCTGCTGTAAATAAAATAATAACAAAAAAAAAAATTCAATAATAAAAATGACATTTCATGTTACATTGTTAATTGAAATATTTTTTGGTTAGATGTCGCTACATATACTGAAAACAATTTTTTCAAAAAACTGAAAAGTAAAAAGGAATACATATTTTTTTTACGGAAGCCAAATAAATATTAACACAAATGATCTGTAGGTACAAACATTTCACAAATATATAGCACATTATAATATAAATAATTAATATTTTATTTATCCGAATTACATAGGGTACTTTGTGTACTCAAAACTGATAAAAGAATGTAATTTAATATAGTGTTATAAATTTTGTATTTGATATCAACCACCTGTTTTTTCATAATATTTCAACCTAGAGTGGCAGCACTATCGGACATTATCGTATGTACGAGTCCAACGCTATGTAAATTTTCTTTGTAAAAATGTTTGATTAAGCTTCATTAATATTCAAATTCAGAAAACAATAAATGAAAAATTTATATTGACTCAGAAAATGTTAATTTTTTCTTCACATTCTTCTTTTTAAAAGTATAAAATACCCAGAAAAAACGTTAATAAGAAACTAATTGTTTTCATCTAGTTTTAATATCGTACAAAAGATGTCGCCGTAAATAGCTTGAAAGAAATTAAATCAAAGCAAATTGTGAGGAATTGATGAAACGAAAAGGAAATTATGATTAAATTAAATTTTACGTTTGAGTTTGATTTGAAAAAAAGATAAAATACATACTCATATATTTTTATTTAGACCGTTTTATGTACTTAAATCGAAACGATTTTATTGTTAATTTTATAATCTGACAAAAAATTAATCAATAACAATTTACTACCAAATATAGATGAACAAGTATGTAGATTATATAAAAATTTATTTTATAAAATAGAGGGAATTTTACGATAAACATTCTGTCCGAGTAGAGAAATTCATAATAGATACATATTTAAGGTAGATTCTTTGATAATGTATAATTTGCATTTGTTCTTAAGTATGACAGTTTTGTCTAGTACTGTTAAAAAAAGATAAAAATCACGCATAATAGACTAGTTTTTAAAATTATTTTTATTTGTACTAATGTTATCTACAGTTTCATAAAATTTAACATTATAAGTACATTATGTTCAATAAAATTTTTGATACTGTTCGATTATCCATAAACTAACAGAATCAAATCTGAACTAATTAAATTAGTTCTGGAAAGTACTTATTGTATTATTATTTTATTAATATTGTATTTATAACTTTAAATTATTAACAATATTTATAAGTGACAACAATACATAGAAATTTTTATATACAATCTTACTCAAGTCGATATCTGGTAACTTGAATTTTATTGAGTTATTAGTATTCAAATACTTCTGCCACCATTAAGTGTAATAAATCAACTATAAACTTGCAATTATATTCGAATGGTAAATATTTATAAGAAAAGAATAAATTTTAAAAATTATCTTAGCAATAAAAAATAAAAAAAATATATTAATAAAAATTTAAGAACTAATAAAATTTTATAACTTTTTAAAAATGAATCGTGCTTTTAACTCTAAAGTAGCTTTACATTCGGCGTTATATTGAGCTATTGCAATTCTTTTATTTAAAAAATTGTCATCAATAAATTTCGTTATATTAACTCCACCTAATTTTTAAATTAAAATAGAATCCAAATATTTGATTAATAAAATATAACAATAATTATTTATTTTATTACAAAATTATTGAAAGTTATTTATTCATATATTTTGTTCGAATATTTTACGTAGACTATGAGCAGCATTTCAAACTGTTTAGATCATTATATTAAATTATTGTTGCCATACCAATATTTTTTTGTGTGTATATTATTACTACTCAAATGTCAAATATAATTTTGTTTAAATTTTTATTTTCAGAAAAAGTTTGAATTTTTAAACTATTTATTAATTTTAAAGAATATTATTTAAAATTTTTTTAATAATAATGTAATAATTTATTGTTACACTTACAATAAAATACTTAATTAAATTTAAAAAACTTTAACGCAAGTGGAAGATTAATGGGTGATTAAACCAAATTTCATATTTGATCCGAAGTTTAATAAGTATATACATTTTGTACATGCATTATACATGTATAAAATTGAATAAATGGATTTTCCACCATTTTCACCATTAAGTAAGTTTTTTACCAAACTATTTTCTAACATATGTATATATGTTTGCATAGGCACATGAATTTTTGTATTTAATTGCAGCTAGTTTAATTAATTTATCTTTTAGCTTATAGACGATTGGACTTTCCAAAGTAATTCTTGCAAGAAATATATACATACATTATGTATGTAAATCATGAAGTGAAATGTAAATCAAAAAGAGTCATAAATGATTAATTATTGTCAAAATTTATTTTTGATGCGTCTTTTTGAAAACAACAAATTTCAACTATCCAGATGATTAAGAAAATATGTCAAACACAAAAAATATTATCGGTGTTTTGTGCTTTGAAATTTGATCCGAAGAAAACTTTTTTTTTTTAATGATGCAGAAGGCTAATTGAAGTTTTAATACAAATTATATATTAATTTTTTTTTTGTGAAAAAATCACATAAATTTTATGGTAAGTCAATATGGTTTTTGAAACAATGGGCTGAAATAAGTTATTTTAATTTTTAGAAAGACGAAATTTAAAACAATTAAGGAAAGCCGATAAAATTTTTACAAAACCAATTATAGGTATGTTCACTCAAAAAGTAATATTATAATGCTATATATGTACATCTATAATAACAGCAACACCATATGTAAAATGACAAAAATATAGAATTTTCATAATAGAATTTTTAGGAATTTTGTTTATTGATAAATTGTTCTACGTTGTCATTCAAACTTCATTAAATATAAGAACATATAATAATTCTAACCAATTCAGTGGCCTCAAACACAAACCGCCTAACTCGAGTTAAGACAAAAATGAGATATGTTTACCAGCGAATTCTCCGTTTTGAGTTTCATATGCTCACAAATTTTGGTGGTTCTACGACTATTGCAGCCGGAGTTATTGTCGGATTCACACATGACCTAACTCGAAATGGCAACCATATGCACTTGCACTAATCGCCTAAATCGAGTTAAGAGCAGAAAACATCTTTTTTATGTTTTGGACAAACCACTTATTTCGAGATAGGCTGTTGTTGCAAATCAAAATTAGTGACATTTTTTTTTATTTGTATGAATTTTTACAACCGCTTATCTCGAGTTAGGCTTTTGTTGCAAAATTAATTTTGAGTTTTTTTAAATACTAACTCGACATAAGCGATTTGTGTAAAATAATAATTGTTGGTTGTTTAAACTCATCTCGAGTTAGGCGATTATTGCAAATACAATTATATTCCAAAAGGCTTCTTATGTTGAGTTAGGTTTTTATTACGCGTGCAAATAAGAACCAAAAACCAAAGTTAAGCGTTTAGTGTAAGAAATAATACATGATTAGTATAGAATATTTTTTAGTTTTTTATAATAAAAAATACTTTATAACGCTTAACATATTATTTTATGTGATATATAGTGTAGGTACTTTATGTCCATGGTTTAAAACTTATTCACTATAGTTAAAATTAAATCTTACATTCAGCAACAAGAAAATAATTGTATTTTTTAACACAAAATATAAAACATCTGCAGAAGTTACCTGCATTATTAGTGCTCTAATTACCCAAATATCCCATGTTTAAGATTTGAATTTTTTTTTAACAAATAATATTGTAGGTCATTTCGTGATTTACCTGCGACAAATGTTTTTTTTCAATTGACGAAGTTCCCATGTTAAAATGACACGTGGCTAGCTACCTGATGGTAGATTGTTTTGCCTTTGTGGTCTAATTGTATTATTAAACAAAGTATTGTTTTATTACGCTCTTGTAAAACAAATGTTATTAGGAAGATCAAATTTTTGTGTTTAACAAGAGTTTTTATTTTAGTTATTGTATTACAAAGCAAGACTTTTATTATGCACTAGTAAAACACATTTTGTTAGGAAATTCAAATTATTATAATTTGCAAGGGTTTTCAATAAATAAAATTGGTACATCTGGGAATAACAATATTTTGTTATACTTTTTGTTACTCATTTCCGTGGGATCAAATTTCTTCGATTTTCAAATATTTATGATATTTTTGTTATTTCGAAGGAAGTATTTTTTACAAAGACAGTTATTTATTATTGTTTTTAAATGTGCTGATGTTGGAAATTGTTAAATAATGCAAAAATTATCCAATATAAACTTTATTCACGCTTAATAAATGTACGTTAAAAATTTTGAAACTTGCTAGGAGAGCTGAGATGATTGTGGCGGATGTTAGAGGTATTGCAATATATTTGAAACTAACATAACGGATTCAAAGTGTTTTAAAGCATAGAAATTAGCGAAACTGGTCCTATAGTAAATAAACAAGTATTTGCATAACAGATCTTACTTTGAAAACCGAAGTTAATACAGTTTTGAAAACCGCAATTGACTTTGGTCGTGGTGACTGTATTAATGATCCTGATTTTAAAATTGACAACATTCAAAAGCAAGTTTTCGGGTCCTATTGGGCATGTGAACATATATGTAGAGATGAAAAAATATGAAAGGCTTTCTACTTTTATTGTTTTAAGAAAAATCCTTTTACAATTTGCCGAACGGTTAGAAAAATTCGCTTAATTTTTCGCGACCGGGCTTCCTAAATGCACTCAAGTACATGAACGCTCAAAACTGACTCGTGGTCCATTTGTATGGAGTCTTAATTGAAAAGTAAATGCTGACAGCTAAAATAAAAATGTCGAGCAAACTAACAATATTCTTTGTTTATTTGATAATCAAATACTTATATACTCTATGATAGGAGAGCAAATT